TTTACTTGCACTATAAATTTGTTGTGTGATTTCACAGCGAAAACTGATCCCTAGATAAAGTGTCTTTTCTAGCGTGATAAATGATAGACACTAAACATAAACAAAAGCAGGTTTTTTCACAGATTGAAATCATGAGTCAATTGAAGCTAGACCACCATTGAAAACCTGGAAGCACTGGACGGCCGTTTCGTCCTAGATAGGACTCCTCAGCAGTGCGCATCCATGATCCCGCACCACGCGGGGCTCGAATCCAGGACCTACTGGCTTCACGCGCGAGCACTTAACCATTAGACCACTGAGCCGGCATCCAACGGTGTTAATGTCTAACTTCAACCAATCCACGAAGTTGCGCCACCATATACCATTGTCTTCAGTGAGCTGATATCTCACAACAGACCTGGTTGTACTCCACAGGTAACGGCTTCCCACTAGAACTCCAGGAGTATCTCTTGAAGTCAGTGACTAGTGAGCAGATGATTATTATCAGAAGAGGTTTGTGGAGATTTTTTAGAAATTTTCATAGATTCATAATAATAATCATTTGCTCACTAGTCACTGACTTCAAGAGATACTCCTGGAGTTCTAGTGGGAAGCCGTTACCTGTGGAGTACAACCAGGTCTGTTGTGAGATATCAGCTCACTGAAGACAATGGTATATGGTGGCGCAACTTCGTGGATTGGTTGAAGTTAGACATTAACACCGTTGGATGCCGGCTCAGTGGTCTTGTAGAACTATGGTCTACTATGATATTAGTACTGCTCTAATAATAGACCTAATCCTAAATTTGTAGATTCGTCATGATATAACTGCCTAATCTATAAGATCTTACGTGGAAGTCACACCATCGACTACGCCAACTCACTGTATCGTATCAATTACCAATACATGATGAAGAACGAGGTTAGGCTAGAGAAAGAACAATATATTTAATATGAATAGAAGATATAAGGTAACATTGAGATGGACCACGCCTGCATGGACGAGCCATGCCACTCGATCAACTCCAGTCCATTCAATTCATTGTTCGCGCCTTCTCCATTTTTAGGTATTTCTCGGCGTTAAATATTGAATATTTATTTTCTGAGTAGTCTCGTGTTCACAGCTTTGTGGATTGTGTGGCTATTGTCCAATGCCACTACAGTCTAATGGTTAAGTGCTCGCGCGTGAAGCCAGTAGGTCCTGGGTTCGAGCCCCGCGTGGTGCGGGATCATGGATGCGCACTGCTGAGGAGTCCTATCTAGGACGAAACGGCCGTCCAGTGCTTCCAGGTTTTCAATGGTGGTCTAGCTTCAACTGACTCATGATTTCAATCTGTGAAAATTTCTAAAAATCTCCACAAACCATTTCTGATAAAAGCAGGTTTGTATATCACTGTACCTAACGATAATAAAAAAAATCTGAATTCAGCAGTTACAAATAGACTTTAACATCTATGGGTACAAAAAATACTCAAAGATATACTCAACGGTGGAGAATAAATACCAATACCCTAATTTTTTGTATCTGCGCTCGTAAAGTACAGATGATAAGCCTCTCTAGAAAAATAGCGGTACTCTTAAGGATTACTTCGACTGAATTAAATTCGATCAGTGCATAAACAGTGGTCTTGATATGTAATTTGACGATGAATACTATAAGATACACTCAGAGAATAAATGCCACTGTCCTTTATGAATAGCGTGTAGAACTTGTAAACATGCCAAAATAAGCCAACAGATTTCTTCAGTCTGTATAGGAAAGGACTGGAGATCAAGTGAATATTGTTATTCGCAACTAGTTTTTACGCTTATAATTAACTGATCGCATTGAACATATTATAAGGTGACCTGCTACTACATATTATCGTCAGGAGTGAACGAAAAGTTAGGTAGGTTTATCATCAAGAAGAATGAATGTAGATGTTGTCGTTGAGCGTTTCCAGATGCAATGTCGTGCGTCAGCATCAAAGTTTCCTCCCGAATTGTCATATCAACACTGAGTTGACAATTATATAGTAATAAAGCTAAACGCCGATGGCTCAATTTAATCTAATTTGAGTACTGTTAAAAACTGATGATGCAACACTCATCTTCACATCGCTTAACAGCTATACTTTTCTATAGATAGGTTGGAGATATATTTCTTTAATTATTAGAAACGGCACACTATGACCATAAACTATGTTCTTTTGTGTTGCATAATGCACACTCCCAAACAAAAGCCATTTTACGAAGATTTCCAGGAGGAATGCAAATGGCATTTCATATGTATAAATAAAAAAACTTTTATTCTGACAATGAATGTAATGCTAAAATTCATCGAAAAAATACAATGCAGATGTATCAGGTTTTATAACTACTGATGTTCTTCATTCACCAATATTAGAAAGAAGCTCATTTTGCAAAAGCTGGCACTATGTCAACCCTACACAGTCTATTCTAGCTCCAGGACAGACCAATACATTCATTCTTTTCAAGCCAAATTTTTACAACTTCACCTATTAATCCTGACTGCATTTTACGTGCGTTAATTGCTTGCCTCATTGATTGTGTCTGTAAATTACCTTCGCTTAACTATGAATATCGATTCACACTTGATCAAATTGACTTGACGTACCCCTCACTCCATTGCGCGTCACTTCTTTTGTCTCTCTGGTCTGTCGGGCTCAACGATTTTAGGAAACATGCGTATTCAAAACACATCCTCGCGTTCGAGTGATTTCATTCCATTATTCAATGACGCAAGTCAGGGACTATAGACGAGGATTGCTGCCTTCATCAAACAATTTAATTATAGTCAGATAAAGTGTCTCTTAAATTTCCAGTAGGGTTCTGATGTCCAGTAAACTCATTACACATTGATTTTAAGGCCGTCCGAATTTAACGGAACAGGTTCATTTATGAACAAGGAGAAGCGAACTAGGCCTGTCCGACACTTGTTATCGGTCTGAAAATGTGCATGCCCCACGGTTAACCTGTGTTCTTCATTAACGTCTGATCTCTGATCATTCACTAAGCACCATACAACACTCATACACTCCTAATGCAAGCCACGGATTTTCCTGAATATAGGTGTAAGAATTTATAAAAACTAGGAATCCTTTTCCAACCAGGTTTTTGTATGGTCGAGTTGAAATGGTAGTAGCCCTAACTACACAATCCTTGAAGCTGGACATGAGCCAACTAAAAACGTTTACATTCAACGTCTCACGATTAGGCATGAAGAAAGATGACCACGTGAAAACATGCCGTGAAGGCATGGTCAGTCTTGTTACTTACTTATGAGTGTTACACCTAATCGAGCATAGGCCACCGACCAGAATTCTCCAACCCATTCTGTCCTGGGCCTTCCATTCTAGTTCCATCCAATCTTTGTTTATTCTTCTTATGTCTGTCTCCATTTCTCGGCATGCCTTGTGACACAGTTAGATGCTTTCCTCAATGTGTCCTACCCATTTCTAGCGCCTTTTCCTGATTTCTTCCCCCACTGAAATCTGGTTTTTTCTCTCCCATAGTAAGTTTTTGCTAAGTGTCTGGCCAACGGATCTGAAGTATTTTGCGTAGACAACTGTTAATAAACACTTGTAACCTCTGAGTGATGGTTTTCGTAGTTACCCAAGTTTCCGCCCCAGTAGACAGTAGAACTGTGTTGACATTTGTATTGAAAATCCTGACATTGGTTGACAGTTGCCTCGAGTTCCAGATGTTCTTCAGCTGTAAATATACTGCTGCTGCTTGCTGAATTGCGCCCTTCACATCTGCATCAAGTCTACCGTGAACATCAACGATGCCGCCCAGATTTGTAGAGGCTCTTACATCCTTCAAAGCATCTCGGTCAAGAATGATCCTACCGGTGCATGTCGTGTTGTATCGGAGAATCTTGCTTTTCCCTTTGTGTATATTGAGATCCACTGCTGCTGCTACACTGGCCTTCTGCATTTTTTGTTGCGTATGTGATAGAAGAGCTAGGTCATCTGCAGTCTAGATCGTCCAGCTGTCCACTGTATCCTATGCTTCCCACAAATGTTGAAGTCTCAACAAGCACAAGCGATTAAGTCCGTTGTAGACAGGGAGGCAGATGTACAGAATACAGAGACCGTCATTGCGGGAGCTCAACGATATTAGTGAGTCGTAACACCTAAAATGGGATCACCGCACCCACCCTTCAGATTGATATGTTCATTCAGTCAAGAGATGATCCTTAACATTAGGAATTTGGTCATCTCATAAACCATTTGGAGCAGTTTAAGAACTTCTTAACTGGATGACTTAATTGTTTGAGGGTGCCCAGTTTTCTGTTCGAAAAATTAACACGGGACACAAGGTATAAGATTATGACCTCATTAGCACACTAAGCTGAGCACCGAATTCATAGTACTTACTTTAATGGTAGTAATATATAAAAGAGGGTGTATAAGGATACAGCACAGAAAGAAAGATATAAAACGACTTTAGTCTCATAGTAGAGTGTACATACCCACGCCATTGAGACCGATTTTGAGCCGTCGCACAGAATTTCCAATCACTGGCTTTCAGTTGTTACGTAAAAGTCTGCATAGCGTTCAGTTCTCCTGAAAACTAACGTAAAATTACACCGGCCCAAAATGGTATATTACAAAATCCCGCCAGTTTCTGCTGCCTCGACGTAATCGTGGGGCTTGCCTATCGTGATGAATCAATCAAGCGATAATGGCTGGGACAATCGTTCCCTGAGGTCTTAGCATGCTAGACAGGTCGGTTGGAGAGCGGTATGACTAAAGCAGCTTTCACGCTTTCGGACCGCAAAGACCACCTCTAAGAAAATTTCCTTTTCAAATACCTTGAGAAAAACCCTTCCACAATGTGGGCAACTAGGAAGTGATAACCGCCCTCATACCTCTAACGGCCATAATTAAAGGTCTCCGCTGACTGTCCGTTCCCGACAGATACATAATGAACTAATAACCTAACTTTTTATTTGAAACTTAGTTCGCCTTTTAATTTATAATTACCATTTAAAAGAAAGTGAACATGAGCCAGTGTGACTTAATAAAATGCATTTAATTTCACACTCAAAAAGATGAATGGTATTTCAGCCAATAAATGGAGAAAAAACTTTACAGGCTTTTCAGTTGGTCAAATATGAAACTACAAAACTTTGGTATATGCATAAACAGTAAAAATGGGAAAACTTATAACCACAACTTCACTGTCATTTATCTAATGGATTGTAGGAAAACTATCCAAAGTATGTAACAGAGGAAGCTGAGAATCTGATTAAATTATATAACTGATCGGATATCAGTGTAAAAGACTCTTTGGTTGTTTTGATTAAACCAAGTGAAAAAATAGTTTATAAAAGAGGAATGCACCAAACACGAACAGATACAGAAAAACAACCGTCATATAAAAATGTACATATCAAAATCGTATTTAAAAAAATAAGGTGAAATGTGAAAAGCTGTACGAATTCTCAAGTTTGAAAAATAAAGTAATGCCTATTAAAACCTTTTGGAGGTAGAATAGCGTTTGCTAAATCAAAAAAAGAATCTAGAGATTGTGTCGTTTTGTGTAGTTATCTACTGTCCAGAATTATCACGAGATGAACGATGGCTGAATTTAAAAAAATGAACTAAGCGTGTTCATCCATGGAATATTTTCTCAACAATAACACACGGAATTGAAAATAAGTAAATGCGGGACGATATATTCTTTGTGAAACGAACACACAAAATTCAAAACGCTGTGATACTCACATCTGCTGAACTTGAACACTGAACTGAGGCTGACTGAAAAAGACAGAAAATATTGGCGAGTTTCATACAAATATAGAGCTTAGCTGCCAAAGAGAAAACAAGAGTCTGATCTATTGTTTAGTTATCAAACGTTTTTCCTAGAAAGCACCAATACAACCACAAAAAAACTTCAGGAGTTCGCCCTTTTTTACTTTGCCGATGCAAAACATACTCTATGAAGGATCCTGGAACATTGATTATCTTTCATGGAATGAATGAGCAATGTTGAAGTCGTGATATGTTAAATCACAAACGACTGACGTGGTCAGAACTCGTTACGTATGAATGTCGACACCTACCTATATGAGGCGCTTTCTAGTGCGGAAGTAAGAAGAAATCTAGGAACGACCGAACTAAGATGCAGGATCACTCCATGAAGTCATTAACTGTAAGTCTGAGTGATTTGGTAGATGCAGATTATTTAGTTGTGGTCCACATTATAATCGTGACCAGTGGTTGGAGACGAGGTGATTTTTAGGAATCAGTCACAATAGCACAGGTTCACTCATGGTTTATATCCTTGTAAAACTTGAGTCGCCATATTTCCCCACATATATCTTTCCACTCTGTCTTTTTAAACCATATTTCAAAGATCCAGTCTTCTTTTATATCACTGTTACTACATTATTTTGATCTGTTTTGTTATTCTTGTCTCGTCATCGTGTATGGTAACTCGAGCTGAGACGAATCTGTGTCAGGTTCTCTGTTGATTATCTACGTTAACCGTCACAATCAAGTTTTTTAAAAATAAAATTAGGATGAAACTTGATGGATGGAATACTGTTAGCACAAAGGTCTTAACTAGGATGGCACTGGATACCAGTTGGTTGTCAATGTAAATATTTCAACCGTGGAAAGAGTCAATTGCAGTCCTCATCGGCCAGTGGTGATGCCTGAAACTGACTTGAATATGGATCCCACGAGAATCAGTTCACTCGAGATCGCAGGTATGCTATGCTAATGATAGCTAATCATCAAAAAGCGTAGACACAGGGTCACGAACTGACTGACACTAGAATTCAAGAAATTATTTAGTTATTGCAAAATTGTAGGAACTTAACAACATACTATTGAATTTCGAAGTATTATGCTCACTAAGGGTATGGAAGGATATTCTAAACCGTACACAGAGTTAGATAAACTCAACACATTCTATCAATGAGATGTAGGTTGACACTGTCAAAAATCGGATTCATACGAACAGAAGTGTGAAAACTAATAAGATAAGAAATAAATAAAAAGAAAACGGGATGGAGACAATGATTTTTTTAAAAATAAATTTCACATTTATGACCTAAATGATGCATATAGACGAAAAATGTGATTTATTCTTAGCATGTTGACAAGAAAAGCAAGTACATTTAGTTTTTATACGAAACAACTAAAAAAAACAGGAATGAGGAAGCGCTAAACTATTCAAAAATCTTAGAAGAAATCACAGAGCATTATATGGGTAGTATTATAGCACAGAACAGGTAAAATATGGAGATTAGAAAATGATATAGTTAAACAAAGCCAAGAGAACTTACGTTACTGGGACAAGAAGGGGATCTACTTCCATCAGCTGGACCAGGAGTGCTCAATTCATGTTGTAATTCTTCACCTACACGGTACGGATGAGATTGAATCAGTAAGTATAAACATAAATAATTCATAAATTAATCATTTTTACCATAACTTTGGACTCACATTTCCTGTTGAACGGATATTACAGCTTTGACTGGCTTCTTTATCAGTTGCTTACAATAGTAAAATCAACATCAAGAATTTGTTTAGTCTAAGAATGTCAAGCTAACTTATTGAGATTTGAACACCTCAAAAAAACTGGACATGGAATTTCGGAATATATAACACACAACAAAACTTAAGTCAAGTTCTCTTATTAAAACTATCATGATGTTGTCTCAAGAGTGATAATTCTGGACATGACAATCATCCTAACTAGATGAGGATAAGTAACTAGATATATAATACTTACGTACACAAGTATAGATAGCTATTATCATGCATACACGTTAACAAGTATGTAAGCAACAATGAAGCATTCTTATTTAATACCACTGATCACCATTGCAAGAAACGAGAATAAACTAAGGACTTATAATATTAAGTATGATCAATGATCTGCATTATTTTCCTCGCCGAAGCCTAAATTTGGTTATTACTCTTACTGACGACAGCAGTACGACGTGAAGATAAGTTACAAGAAAATTGAATTGACATAACAAACTGCTAAAAATGCAGTAAAATTTGTTTTATTTCTAATAACGTCATGTGTGAAATTCACCGACTTGGAATAGCATGAAAGAACAAATAAGGAGAATAAGCTAAACCCATGAATAAGAGTAAACTAAATGTTATGTATGGTACCATATAAAACACTTGAATGTTATTTATTGAAACATTTAAAAAACAAACGAAATATCATTATCACTAAAAAATTCACAATAACTTACGTTTTCGCACCATGGAACTAGTTTTTATTACTTCGCTTGGAGATGGTGCATTAGCCAAACCATCTGGCATTGGCGGAGTATTTACTTCGCCTAAATTGTCAAGAATGGTTAAAGTACGATCGTTTGAATCTGATGAACATGGGGACAAAACTTCATCAGAATGTGAAACAGGGTTGGTCATTGGAGTAGTAGTTACAAATTCGTTAGATTTAATATGACAATTATTTCGAATATCCGATCGCTCTCGATTTACAAGCGTCATACACGGAGAACTATTATCAGAATTTGTTCCACGATCGTCACTATCTGGTGTATTATGAATCCTTGGAGTAAGTTCAGTAAAATGTTTCTGTCGTAGTTGAGCTTGAGCAGATTTATTAGCAGCTTCAGAGTAAAATGGTAAGAACTCTGTGGGTGAACTAGGAGGTATTTGTGGTCCTGGAGAAGTGCCTAACCTAGGCAAGTTGTCTCCATCATCTTCACTTTCCAGCTCCAGAGTAAACGGGGTAATTGGGGGACGAAACACTGTAGCAACATTTGTACGTTCAGAGGTAGAAACAGAAAGATTGGGGTTATAACTTTGACTTCTAGAATTTATTACATAATCAGATGGCTGCTGATCAAACAGATTAGTCTTAGATGATAATGGACCGGGAATCTAGAGAATAAAATAATCGGTCATACATTTTAAATTTATTTAAATAGTATGAAAAAGGAATAAAAAGAATGTAGTAGGTATTTAATGATTCTTCTCTCAAAGTCTGATCATTTTTTAAGTGTTTTATAAAATGGCAATCTTAAAATTGCAATCTTCGTTTTTAGACTCCTTACCAATATTAAGAAAAAGTAACATAAACTATAATGAACATCAGATAAAATCATTTACTGTATGTTTTACTTTCTATGTTAAAGTAAATATTTAACTATTTCAAGTTAAAATAGTTTGTAAGAAAGTTGTTAAACTAACAACACGCTACAAAGAACTTTATTTGAATAAATTTCACTTCTAACGCTAACTATTAATTGATGTATCTTTTCTCCACAATTTTGTAATTTTTACTTCCATCAGAGTAAAAACAATTTGGTTGAAGACAAAAGAGATAAAAGTGAGGGGATACCTGGTACCTGCATTTTATCGAAAGTGTGTTGATAATGAGCTGGATAAAGTAAAACTTTCTATTTTAATAACCATCAGACGTTGAGTGAAAATTACTGAGATGAAGACCTTCAAACGATCTTTATTTTTTTTAAAACTCACATTCCAAGACGAATTCGACGACCCGGTATTGTTTTGTACATGATGAGGTCTTAGAAGTCCATGTGATGGTGGTGCAGGGCTATGCATCTCAAGTCCTTCATACCGACCAGGATAATAAGGAGAAGGCATAGATGGTGATTGATCAAGAGTGTTTACGCTGTACTGCCGGGAAGTACCACATGATCCAGAATATCCTGTAGGGTTGGTTGGAATTTGAGGGGGATTAGATGAACTGCTTCCACTGCTTGCAGGTGAAGGAACAGCTAAGGCGTTATGAGTAATGACTGGTGCTACTTGTTCAGAATACCGTTCATTACCTTCTGGAAAACTACCACCACTGAGTGGTGGACCATCTGTTGATAACGAATTAGAACTCGAACCAGAGGCTGTAGATAAATAACGAGCACGTTTATTGGGACTTTGACCGCCTAGGTGAAATCGTGGCTACAAGTAAATTGGGAAACAAAAGTTTAATAAACTCAAATAATAGTACTAGGAAGCGGAAAACAGTGATAGCTAAAGTTCACTTTAAATAATGGTATTTAAAGAACGTGATACATAATCATTTATGCTCTGGAGAACATACTTCCTCAGTGCAGAAACAAATAAACTGTACAAGGAGTATTGTGGGCGATTAATACAGTAGAAACCGGAATATTAGAATCGAAATAAACTGAATGATCAGGATTAATATTTGACAACATTACGCGTTACGAATTACGATGGAAAATATTTCAAAAGAATTTAGAGCTAAAAGTCAAAGCTGTAGGTATTTATATACATATGATGACAACTACATTCAATTGGACCATGTCGATAAGGAAGGACAGTAACAAAGTTTCAACAAACAGGAGAGGCATATTATTCTCGAAGTACTTCAAGAAATTACGACAAGCAGCTGCTCAAAGCAGACACACAGGTGTAGTTAACATCATCAATTGTTTTGGGAATTCTGTTTATTCACAAAATTTAGAGCAGCACTGTAATCTTTACCTCTAACTTTAGTACGATTCCCGTGTATTAATCACTAGGTATAAATCAACTGGTTGCAATGCTACTTGGAAGTAAAGTTTAATATGAACACAAGGGTCAAAGTAGTAAGATAAGTAATCACCTCAAACTAAATATATTTAAGATTGTAAAACATACCGATGGTTCATATGCACCTGGGGCTTCTCCAGGATGTGGTAGGACAGTTCGCTTAAACCCTACTTGACTACAGTCCGTACTCGCTGCAGATAGATGCGACACTTGGGCATATGGGCTGCGTGCACCTACACCAGGAGGGAGTGGGGCAGGCGGTTGCTGGGATCTGGGGTATGGAGATGTAATTTGATGGGCTGGATACATTGAGCTATTTGTTATCGGAGAATGATAACCACCCAAGTTTGTATACGCGGAATCACATTGAGACTTTGGTGTGGATGGTTCCAAAATGCTTTAAATGAAACAAATATAACAGCTAGACGTATAAAATACTACTATAATCAGCACAATGATATACACAAATTAATATATATATATATAAGAGCAAAAGGAGCTTCATATGATATTAATTGTAAAATTCTAAAACACATATGCGGAATGATAATCATACCTAGTATGTTTTTCGGTGTGGGCAATAGGAGGGGTAGATGTATTAGTGTTTGCAGTAATATGTCGTGAGTCAACGGATGGCGATATAGGACCGGGAATTGGACCAAGTGCTGAAGGGAAATTAGACCCCAAAACACATGAAGGAAAGTTTGACACACCAGACTGTTGTTTTTGATGTGCTGCAACAGCAGCTGCCGCAGCCAATGCCATTGCTGTAGATGGATGTGTTAACCCAGGTGTACCACTATGGGAATATGGATGATTGATCGAGTTATTTCGGAAGTTCTAAAAAAGAGAGGTTAGTAATTCAAATATATATATATATATATATGATGCGTCCAGACTGAGAATATATATCAATAAACTAAGGCAGGAAAGAAACTTTAGGAATGTCTATGAACTATGTAACGTATAAAGGTAGAATACCTGAGTAAAGCTGAATGGGTTATTAGACAATTGTTGATGGGAAGACTGTAATGCAGACGGAGATGCCAGGACAGCAGCTGTATATGCACCAACCCCACTAGTTTGTGGCAAAGAAGTTTGTAGTTCATAGGGCTTGTAACAGTTACCACGTTGAGGAGTACTGCAATGAGGCATTTGCATAGCAGGGTTATCGCCAGAACCAATGAGAGATGGGACGGATGGTAATCCATGATTATTTAAATTATGATTGAGGTTAGGAATTGGAAGATTTAAATGTCTATTATCTGGTACAGTTGACCGAGAAACATTGGTAACTGGAGAGTCAACATTGTTTGTTGAAGGTGGATGAAAACCTATAAATGTAGAATGACTAATAATTGTCATGTCGACACAAAATTGTAAACAAATTATAGAGAAGCAATGTGGATAATTTTACTTTATAATAATTAGTTCGTAAAGCAGTACAATTATAACCAAAACAAAAAAGGTAATTGAATGAATAGTTTAATGAGTTTCCAAAAAAGAACTTGTGGTATATAGACTAACATAATCATTGCCAAAAATAATTTGAATTATTAGCAGTAAATAAATGAACATTCTTTCAATGATTGTGACACAAGATCAATCGATTAGGATGCTAGAATATAGAGGATCATTTCAATATAAACAAGAATAATAACCAAACGTAAAATCAAGGTGTTTAATGAACGATTAAAACATCGCATTTTGTTGATCACCGATATAAAATTATGACAATGAGAAAGGTTATGGGTAAACAAGTATAACTATTTTAAAAATCAAATGTAAAATTACTTTTCAGGATATCTCTTAAATTAAAGATTATGAAATCATATTAGTCGGCCATATCTACAGTAGAACATCACATATGTATGAGAATACCCACCATTTAATTAAAACATTGAATTAGTACTTAGCATGTAGCAAAAAATAAGAATTAAATACAACCCACCTAACAATTGACCTACAAATTGAATCATTTAGAAAACGTATTTAGGTTTGATAGTCGTATTTGAAATCTCGGTAATTAAAATATTGAAACTAGATAAACCTACTTTCATTTTTAGTACATTCCGATTTACAGGATGATAAATCACTTGTAGACGAATTCTGACGTTTGTTTTGTATTTTACCGAATGCTGATTTAACAGAGCCTGAATTATAAAAAAAATGAACTATTTAACAAGATGCAAACAGTCAGACTTTTGAAAATTGTTTAATAATATTATTTTAACTTGGTAAAATCTCTAAAGAACAAGAATAAATGACCGAACTTCATAAAAATCTCATTAGGAACTGATTAGTCGGGTATAGGGGCACTAATCTTTTTAGTGTGTAAAGACTTATGAAATTATCTAGATGTACAATTTGGAGGATAATAGATAATGCTATACACTGGTGAGCTAGATGCTGAAATTTAATGGTAGTGAACATTGAATAACAGGTGTATTATAACTAAAGTTTACGACTTATTATAGCAAAACACTGAAAAATTCAGCTCAATACAAAACTATTGACCGGTGAAACAGGTGAACTGAATAGGAAAAATCACCATAGTGAATCAAGTGACATTAGAGGGAGAATAACAATTAGTTTATCTAACAAGTGAATTTATGATACCCTAACAATGCAAAAGAAAACTTATTTTTAAAAGTTGCGTACAACCATATATTCGTCGTCTTTTACAAACTGAATTGCCAATTACCAGTTGATATACCATCATCATGTGAACTAGTTACTTATGCAAAGAAAATGGTTCTTGCATATAAATTAGAATATTTAGACGTACCAGGTTATCAAATCGAGCGGATAGGTTACAAAACCGAAAAAAAGACTAGATACACTCAGCTATATGATTATCTATGTAAATCAGACAGGTGTGAACGCAATGTCGTGAGAAAAATAAACGAATAAATGTGACCTCTATGTTTAAAATTAAGTTACATGATTACAAAATAATTGATGAGATATATCATGAATGTGGGCCTTAAGTCGAAGCTATAAAGGTTAAAAATAGAATAACGAATGGCCAGGCAGAACATAGTAGAAACGAGCATCCGAGTTTACTATTTTCAGCCATCATAAGCCATGAACTGCTAGCTAAATGATGCCACTTCATATGCAGTACCTTAGTGGATTGAATATGTCAGACAGATTTCATACGACTGAAGGATGAGAGGGACTTTGTGTAGGTTTTCTGGTAGATGTAAATATGTTACAACAAATATATGATAAATTCATGGGTCCTCTGTTCGATAAGAATTTCAAAAAATTTGCGTTAATAAATAGATCAACGAACCTTTTTGGAGCATTTCAGCAAGGGCTGTAGAGGGTGGTGGTGAAAAGGAGCTCGGAGGATTAGCAGCATGAGCGATCAAAGCAAACGCATGTTTGGACCTAGAATTAACATAACGGTTAGCAACAAGATGTTGGGCGAGCTGAAATAGTGACTTGAATTGTATGCCAAAAACTTGGTGACCATATTCCAGGAGAATATGAGCCACGTCTGCGACGACGGAACCACGAATTCCTAAAACAGTTCGCACAGATGGATCATCAGCCCAACTGCTAATATCAGCATCAGATCCATTGGATTTTAAAAGACGAATTAGTGGACTATTTGATGACATATGCCTTTGAGACCCAGCTTCGAAGCTTCCACCAGAACTACTTCCAGGTGAACCAACAGACCTTCCAGATATATTTTGAGAATTAATACCAAGAGCTTCATTGGTGAGATCAGGTAAGTAGGGTGGTTGAATTTCTGTCTTTTTACGCATTCCACCATAGCAGTATCTAAAATAACAAACATTAAAAAGCTGAATAGATATGTAAACTAAATGATGCAACTATTTGATTTAAACTACAATCAGGACAATTCGGTACAAAGGTTTCTAAAGCGTTATTTACCATTTAAGAGAAATGTTTTCAAATAATCAAAGATTTGAATAGAGCTTGCAGGGTATACAGATAAATTTAAACATATAGAGCAAAGGGAACGAGTATTTATTTTGAGAAATATTTTATTTATTTATTTATTTATTTGAACACATAAATATTGGTACAAGAGAGCGCCAATATATATGCGCCACACAAAACAATGGGAATTCGAAGAGAAGTAAAAGAAAAAAAAAGAAAAAAAAACTAAGGAACGCAAAAGAAAAAGAGAGTAATGACGAAGAGGTACAATCAGAAGAAATCTTTCAGGTAAAGGAGAGACAACCACTTTTTATGAGGAAAGTAAAAGAAGGTTACAGCAGGATCGCCACTGGCTTCTATTCTGAGCCATATCTGATAACGTCTCTAGCCACTGTGTAGCACCATCTCTCGGACCCCAGCCAGGGAGTCGTGAAGGACCAACACAAGCCAGTCCTTTGCAGCTTTCTTTCATGCCACGACACCATGTCATGCACTGACCACCTCTCCGCTTCTTCCAACCAGTCCCAGAGTCGGCAAATAATGCACGACGTGGAATTCTCTGGGACGACATTCGTAGAACATGTCCAAGCCACCGAAGTCGATGTTTCAAGATGGTGACACCAATTGAGTTATCATCTCTGTGCCCGAACACACGATGCCGAACCTCTGCATTACTGACATGGTGTTGCCACTGAATGTCAGCAATCCTTCGGAGACAGCGATGATCGAACACAGAGAGTCGTCTAACGTCCTCAACTCGGAGAGGCCAGGTTTCACAAGCATAGAGCAAAACTGCTCTCACCGACGCGTTGTAGATCCGGCCTTTTACAGCCAGACTAACATCACGAAGGCGCCATAGATGGCCCAGATTGGCATAAGCCGCTCTGGCTTTCACTATTCGTGCATTGATCTCATCACTCACACCCCCACCAGCACTTATGCAGCTACCCAGATACACGAACTTCTCAACTACGTCTATCTGCTCACCGTCCAGGGTGAGTACAGGATTAGAATCCTGCCAGTCTTGTAGAAGTACTTTGCACTTCGAAGGTGCGAAGCACATACCATACCTACGGACATTGATTGCCAACTGATTAAGTGCGGATTGCATGCCTTGGGCATTATCGCACAGTAAGACAATATCGTCCGCATACTCAAGGTCGAGAAGTCTTTCTCCAGGCAACAGATCCACACCACCATTACTTACATTCATCAGAGCTGTTTCCAGAATGTCATCGATGGCAAAGTTGAAGAGGAATGGTGAGATTGGGCAACCCTGTCTAACCCCACTGCTCGAATGGAACAATGGAGAGAGGTGGTTGTATGCCCTCACTCTGCCTGAGGTGTTTTTATACAGGGCTTTTAGGATGTTAATAAACTTCTCAGGCACACCCTTCCTCAATAGACAATCCCAGAGAACAGTCCTATCCAACGAATCGAAGGCAGCCCTGATGTCAAGAAACACTACGATTGTTGGCCTTTGAAAAGTATGGCGGTGTTCTAACATTTGGCGGAGGGTGAAGATATGATCAATACATCCTCGACCAGAACGAAACCCAGCCTGCTTCATTCGAGTCAATATTTCTCGGGTTTTGAACAACCTACGAAGTATGACGGAAGCCAATAGCTTGGACGCAATCGGAAGTAAACTTATCCCCCGATAGTTGTTACAAGAACGACGTGAACCCCCCTGAATGCCCTGGTACGGCCGAGAGTGGGGAGAGTCCGCTCTCCCTCTCGAAATACTCTCACACGGCCACGCGTATACAGCCTCTGCCAGGGAAGTCCTACTCATTGCCTTCTCGTGGCGGGGGTGTTGTTTACGAAAATGAGAGGACGAAAAGCGAATGTCCGGCGCTTTAACCGGATTCCAAACCAATGGTGCACATGGGCTCCAGTATCCTGCGGGAACGAATGGCGTATGAACCAATCGTTGGTCACCGGCTACCATGGGACTGCATCTCCTTACGATGCCCCACTGCCTTGTGGGTTAGACCCTTAGGTCAAAGGCTCGGGGAGTGGCCCCCTAAGATAACCACCTGCTTCGGTTTGGGCACCCGGGCAGTATCACAGCCCACACACAAATGATGAACTCTTTACGTCTATGGAAATTACTTTTGTCGCTTTGAGAAATATTTACTTGATGTAATAGCTCCAACATTTAAATGTTTAATTTAGAAGGTATAAAGAGAAATTCGAATATACTTAATATAGATTATGAAAGTGATTTACATAAAGTGATTTGGAAATAAACGAAATATTAGTGGTTGAAATGAATTTTTAACTCATACATATTACTGGGTACGTTTACATGCAAGCATTTAATCAATTTAACTAGTGTGTATGGCAAGAATATTCAAATTACATTTAGCTTGAAATATGAACAAATAATAAGTTTCTTTACATCGTAGAAGTAATTACGCCCAGACAGGTAACATCATCTGAAAACTGTGTAAAACTTTCTGAATCAGTTTGTATGAGCGACAGGCAAAACCAGACAACTAAAATGGAATAAACACCACTTAATACTTTGAGAGATTTAGTCTAAATAAGAATGACCCAACTTTATACGAGTGAGAAAAAAATGGATGAAATTCACAAGAACCAATAGAAACACAGTTCAGTTAGGGGGGTTAATGTTTATTCTCTTCAAATATATTTGTAATTGTTAACCTAGCTATCACTAAATGAATCAAACTATTCACTCTGTAGACAAAGCTAAACTAAACCACCCTGTAAATATTAAGGCCTGAAAATTACATAGATTAAAGGTTTCGAGTCGGTTAATCTCTACAGGACAACAAATTCTAAGGATGGGAATAATCAAGGGTCACGCAGGCTGGTATTTTATTTATTTATTTATTTATTTATTTGAACACATAAATATTGGTACAAGAGAGCGCCAATATATATGCGCCACACAAAACAATGGGAATTCGAAGAGAAAAAAAAACAACTAAGGAACGCAAAAGAAAAAGAGAGTAATGACGAAGAGGTACAATCAGAAGAAATCTTTCAGGTAAAGGAGACACAACCACTTTTTATGAAGAAAGTAAAAGAAGGTTACAGCAGGATCGCCACTGGCTTCTATTCTGAGCCATATCTGATAACGTCTCTAGCCACTGTGTAGCACCATCTCTCGGACCCCAGCCAGGGAGTCGTGAAGGACCAACACAAGCCAGTCCTTTGCAGCTTTCTTTCATGCCACGACACCATGTCATGCACTGACCACCTCTCCGCTTCTTCCAACCAGTCCCAGAGTCGGCAAATAATGCACGACGTGGAATTCTCTGGGACGACATTCGGAGAACATGTCCAAGCCACCGAAGTCGGTGTTTCAAGATGGTGACACCAATTGAGTTATCATCTCTGTGCCCGAACACACGATGCCGAACCTCTGCATTACTGACATGGTGTTGCCACTGGATGTCAGCAATCCTTCGGAGACAGCGATGATCGAACACAGAGAGTCGTCTAACGTCCTCAACTCGGAGAGGCCAGGTTTCACAAGCATAGAGCAAAACTGCTCTCACCGACGCGTTGTAGATCCGGCCTTTTACAGCCAGACTAACATCACGAAGGCGCCAAAGGTGGCCCAGATTGGCATAAGCCGCTCTGGCTTTCACTATTCGTGCATTGATCTCATCACTCACACCCCCACCAGCACTTATGCAGCTACCCAGATACACGAACTTCTCAACTACGTCTATCTGCTCACCATCCAGGGTGAGTACAGGATTAGAATCCTGCCAGTCTTGTAGAAGTACTTTGCACTTCGAAGGTGCAAAGCACATACCATACCTACGGACACTGATTGCCAACTGATTAAGTGCGGATTGCATGCCTTGGGCATTATCGCACAGTAAGACAATATCGTCCGCATACTCAAGGTCGAGAAGTCTTTCTCCAGGCAACAGATCCACACCACCATTACTTACATTCATCAGAGCTGTTTCCAGAATGTCATCGATGGCAAAGTTGAAGAGGAATGGTGAGATTGGGCAACCCTGCCTAACCCCACTGCTCGAATGGAAAAATGGAGAGAGGTGGTTGTATGCCCTCACTCTGCCTGAGGTGTTTTTATATAGGGCTTTTAGGATGTTAATAAACTTCTCAGGCACACCCTTCTTCAATAGACAATCCCAGAGAACAGTCCTATCCAACGAATCGAAGGCAGCCCTGATGTCAAGAAACACTACGATTGTTGGCCTTTGAAAAGTATGGCGGTGTTCTAACATTTGGCGGAGGGTGAAGATATGATCAATACATCCTCGACCAGAACGAAACCCAGCCTGCTCCTCGCGAGTCAATCTTTCTCGGGTTTTGAACAACCTACGAAGAATGACGGAAGCCAATAGCTTGGACGCAATCGGAAGTAAACTTATCCCCCGATAGTTGTTACAAGAACGACGTGAACCCTTTTTAAAGATAGGGACAACTATCGACTCATTCCATGACGTTGGTACACTCTCTAGTTCCCAAACCTTTGTAAACAACGTCGTCAATTCCTTAGTCAAAAAGTCACCACCATCTTTAAAAAGAGCCGGAGGTAAGTCATCTGGGCCAGGTGATTTGTAACGCTTCAAGAGTTGGAGTTCCTTGCGGACTTCCTCCTCATTTGGTGGATCAGTCGTCACCGGCCATGGAGGGCAGGACAGTCTGACCGATGTTGCCGGAGCAGCAGGCCAGTTGAACTGCCCTTCGAAAAATTCTGCCCATCGTCCAAGACGTCGATGGATGTTAGTGATTGGCATCCCATCATCCTCGCAGATTGTTTCACTCACACCAGACTTCTTGCTGCCAGTGGCTCGGATGAGCTGGAAGAGCTTCCGGCAGTTACCAGATGCAGCTGCTGCTTCCAGCTCATTAGCACGCAT